TCAGGCGAAATTAAGGCAACATGTAGACATGCAGGCGAGGCATTACAGTCATTCTCTGAGCTGCTTCAATGTAAGCCGGAAGAAATGTCTTTGAATGAAGTTACGTAACAGCAGGCTCGAAAGGTCAAACGGATTAGGACGGCGGTTACAACTGTTATCTACAGTAATAATGATGATGAAAGTGGTGATAATTCATCCTCAGGCGTCATATTGTAGGTACAAGGAACTTTTTTCTATTGCACTAATCTATTTGGATTGTAAAACCCAGCCCACAGTCCAGCAACACAAAAGTTTTGGATCCTATAAACACGAAGGCCTAAATGTCAAACGACAAATTATTTCTGGAACAGCCGGGATTCGATTCCCAGAGTAACAAGCGTCTAGGGCTGTTTCCTCGGGGGTAAAGCGTCAAGGGCGTGAAGCTGGTCTCTGAGCTCCATTTAGTGCCGAGGTCAAGAATGATGGAACTATACCTTCACTTCCCATATATCTTCTTAAGCACAGGAACAACTTTACTTTTATAAACCCAGGCTAAGACAGGGCTGGTTTCGATTCGTGTTTGAACATGTCCTCAGAGATTCGCGCTGTCGCCATATTAGTATCCAATACATATCATTTTTTTCATCTCGCTCCCACTTTGGAGCATATGGCTGATTTCTCAGTTTCATTGATCGTTTTTTACAGACGGTAGGACTCCTTGGGCGAGTGATCAGCTCATCGCAAGGTCTCCACATAAACACAGGACAACACAATCACAGAATAAACGCATACACACACTAAACATCCATGTCTTGTGTGGGATTCGAACCCACAATCCCGACTTCAGACCGAGCGAAGAGAATACATGTCTTAGACCGCTCGGCTACCGTGACGGGCAGTATATGTCATTAGGTTATAAATATTGACCGCTTCTAGCCACAAAATACACACTCTCATCCGTCCGTCCATCCATCTTCTTACCATTCTATTTTGCTGTCTCCACGCGTTTTCCCACGACCAGAAGACAAGGTGGGTAGAGCTGCTTACCTTGATCATTCTACTTCTCAGTTATGAGTACATGGATTTCACTGTACCACCGGCAAATGCAAGGGTCGTCCGGAAGTCATGTTGATATTTTCAGCTTGCGCAGTACATGCAGTACAGTATCAGTGGCGTGCTCTTGTGATCACCATAATGAACTNTTTCTTTTACGTGTCGTAAAGCTACGACACGGGACCCACGGCTTAAAGTCCCTTCCGGAGGACTTGTTCCCTGAATTTTCCGCCCCTAAAAATTCCACGACTTCTGCCGGGTTTGAACCCGCGTACCTTGAGTCATGAGGTGGGAACGTTACCCCTATACTACGGAGGCCGCTTGTGTTGGTCTTACTTTCATCGGAATTATTTGAACAGGTTTTAGTACTTCGTGGTTCTACACTATTTAATGATTCTTTTCCAGCTATATGCGCTTAATTCCTTTATCGTCTTAACAGACTACTACCATTACCGTAAACCAGCAGTTGGATTGTCGTGTAGCTGTGTAATGCTTTAACCCGGTTTCCTTTCTCTTGTTTTCTTCTGACAGTCTTCCAGACTGCAATTCCAGCACCTTTCCCCTGACGACGGGCACTGACCTCAGACAAATGAGCACGACTGGGACCTGTTGGGCCAGTGGATGCCTCTGAAGACGCGGAAATCATGAACCCCACTGGCGCTCAATTCCATCTCTGTATTCGTATCGAAACGTCGTACATTACAGTTGCTTCAGATACATGCAAGCAACTGGGGCACGCGGTAGCTTTGGTTGAGGCACTGTGCTACAAGCCGGAAGGTCGCAGCTTCAAGTCCCGATGAAGTCATTGAATTTTTTTTTTTCAATTTACCTAATCCTTCCAGCCGCACTGTGGCCCTGGGGTCGATTCAGCCTCTAACAGAAATGAGTACCAGGAATATTCTTGGAATGTTCTTGGGGCTAAAGGACGGCCGGCGCGTAGGACTGACAACTTTCCATTTACGAGCGTCAACATCTCACAACCCTATGGGCCTCAAAGGCCTGTTACAGGGATACCTTTACTTACTTACTTACATGCAAGCAACACAATGCTTCGTCTTCTATATAACTTTCTTCATGAATCAATTTTTACTCATACGCCTGTGTGTTATGTCGTGGCCCACGTTATTTGTATTGTTTTCTTGGCTGTATTTCACAATCATCTGTATGTCCTAAGTAATATCTCCCGCACTGTACTCTCAGGGAAGTTATCCCTGTGACAGGCCGTGAAGGCCCATAGGGCTGTGAGACGTCGAGGCTCCCACAGATTTCTCTAGACAATCGGCATACAGTTGGCGGTAAGTTTGTCAGCCTTACGCTCCGTCCGCCACTGCACTATCAGTATCGTCCAAATTGGGTATGGGAGGCATACACTAAAATTTGTCGCGCTGCTTGATTATGATTCAGTTTAGTCTGTTTTAAAGAACTTTCTTTGTCTCCTGAAAAATATGTAAAATAAAGTTACGTGATTGTTGCAGCTGCTGCAAATGGGAAACTATTTATGCGACAAATATTATAGAACGTATCACTGTTTATAATATTGTATTGTAGTATCCTGTTGCACTTCAGTTATTTTGTTCGTGTTAGTTATTAGCCACCTAACTTGCAACTTGCTTTGTTTTAAACCTTTAAAAGTTTTAAACGTTAAAATCTCTATCTAAATCTATCTCAATAAAAATGTACAAGGGAAATACGGAAAAGATTGAGTCGCAGTTAGTTTTCATCTTTTATTCATGGTTTATGAAGGGACAGTAAGCATAACTGAGATACAGTAGAGAATATTACAATGGTAGAACAGTCACAAGAAAAGCTGTAATTATATACCACTGAAACTAAGGATCTTACTTACTTACTTACATGGCCGCGCCATAGCTCAAACGGTTAGTCGCTGGCATCCCACCGCGGCGGCCTGGGTTCGATCCAGGGTCTGGTCAAGTGGGATTTGTGGTGGACAAAGTGGCGCTGGGGCAGGTTTTCTCCGAGTACTTCGGTTTCCCCTGCCAATCTTCATTTCACCAATTGCTCCACAATCACCCTCACCTATCATCTGGGGCTGGTACAATAGGCCAGAAGTGGCCGCGGTACAAGGGACTTAGTCCCACCCCACTAGCAATAAAAAAAAACTGTTTCTTTGCCTCTACATCACGTCATATAAGGCTCAGCTGATATTTTGCACTATAAATCGATTTACTGAACCTGAGCTGTCGTTGTAGTGTCCTGATCTCTGCCTATCTAGATTTATAAATCATCATTTTGAATGGGAAGAAGCGGGAGGCGACTTTATGTTTTAATAAGGCGGAAATGAATATGTACTCCACGGCTGACAGAGGGGACGAAGCGGAAAATCCGAACCTCACTAAGGTACTTGGTTCCTCACATTCACAAAGTTCTGATTTCGTGAATATGAGGGGAATATCCACATCGAATCCGGTCGGTCTCTAACCTGGCACCTTAGGTAGGCCACACAGCGGCATGCGTCAAGACATGTAACAGTCAAGACACGATGTCTACGACATGACGCAAAGAAAGGAGCACAGTTGAAACGAATGGAATTATGAAAACCGCCGCACACCGATCTGAGTCATGTTGCTGACGTCAGTTTCATGCTGACCAATCACAATAGAAGCAAGACTGCGTCTTTTGTCTCATGTCTTGATGCTTGTCTTGGCGCAGTTAATGTGCGGGCGCCTTTAACCCTTAACCAACTGGCCAGTAACTGCCCAAAGCATGTACTCATGGAGTACTGTTGAACAGCGACTGTTTCTAGTGCCTGCTTGAAAACGGCGAGCACTTTCAACACCTGCTCTGATCACGGCACACAATCCAAGATAAGATATGTGTAAATTACTTTAATATCTGTATGGTATATTTTATATTACAGCTCATTTCGTCGGGCCGGTTTTATATGAATCACTCTGTATAATACTGACTATAGAAATGAGGACAGACTGCTGGCTGCATGGCAAGGAACTGTAGGTAATCAGTTACACACATGTTTCGCCCATAAAGACCATCTTCATAAGTTAGGCACATTTGTTATCAACTTTATACTAAATCTGTACTTTGGTCAATATTTACATTGTCAGGTGGTTTGTGCTTGCCTGGGTTTGAATATATGGTATAAGTAAGGTATAGGAAATATGTTAAATATGTGATATGAATATGATTTGTTAAAGGAAATGCAGTAAAATATAAAGGTAACATAAATTGCAAATTCAGAATTACATTTTATTTCAGAATTTGTATTGACACTACTCGTACATATTGAACAAATACCCTATGCCCCACTTTTATCATACAGTCAAACTCAGGATAGCACAAAAATCTAACAACATAAACNATATTAATTGTAACGTAAACACTGGTCAGTGTATAGATTTAGCATAAAGTTGGTAATAAATGTAAAAAAAATGCCTATATATGGTCTTTATGGCCGCAAAATGTATGTAACTGATCAAAATATGTAATTGATGTTATATATTGCGTTGTGTCGACGGACCTACCCATAATTATGTATCCAACATAACATGATGCTCCATTACAGTATTCTGTTCAACATTAATTAGTTTTTCAATGAAATCGTGGATGAACTCCACCATTAAAGCGGCTTGCTCTACGGGGCTTGTAACCAATAACCAAAAGACTACTCTGTTTCTTCGTCCTCGGCCTTTCAGACAATTCCTTGCTATAGTGCATACATATGTTTTTATAATATTCACAGTGTTTTATACAGCGAAACTGTAGGCTTACACGCTATTTAGCGGCCTCCGTAGTCTAGAGGTAACGTTCCCACCTCATGACTCGTGGTACGCGGGTTCAAACCCGGCGGAGGTCGTCGAATTTTTAAGGGCGGAAAAATTCAGGGAACAAGACCTCCAGGAGGGACTTTAAGCCGTGGGTCCCGTGTCGTAGCATTACGGCACGTAAAAGAACCTCATATCTCCAAAGGAGGTCACTGAGCTAANTAACTAACTAACTAACTAACTACACGCTATTTGAAGCAGAAATTTGTACAGTTTTTAATTGGTCCCACGCAACGTCACCTATTTTCCAGTTCTTGAAAGGAGTCGAGAGATATAATACACTGCACAACCTTGAGATGAACCCAGTCCCTTTGCAGAAGAGAACTAACTTGCCGTAATTTCATCCTAATTGATTTCCCTTATAGTGTTGTTTGGAAATGCAGTAATTATTTGTGAGCCTCTATAGAGATGCAGCCAGTGACATCAGGCATCTGAAATACGGATCGTTAAAGAACCGGCTTATAAACTTTGTACATGTTCCCACTTTATAGCATATTTTTTTACTGTTTAATCTTCCCTACTTGGTATTATAACTGGTATAACACGTATTTCACGTATTGATAACACCGACACTTGTGAATCACAAAGGCCAACCGACATTTCTGTTTTCCATCATAACGTAATTGGTTTTTTCCAGTGAAACCATACGCCTGAATGTTTCATCGTTTCCACATCCAGTGCCTCAGCCCGCAGACTGTGTAAAATTCGTACGAGTCTGTGAGTAATTTGTTTGGGTAATGCAGTGACATTCCCAGTATTAGCAGCTCGGTCTGTTTCCGTAATAGGCGTGGCGTCATGTTGCAGTTGGGACTACTGGAGCGTTGTTTCTCCATCTGCTGGGGACGGCGATGGTTCGATTGGTCGGTCCGTCCGACCGAACTCCTCATTGAGACTGTAGTACTGCGGTGACTCTTCGCATGCGACTGCGTCTTCTGGCCTCGTGCAAGTGAAACTCTCCTGAAACACAGACATTTCATGCAGTTCTGACCCAGTTTGTTTTAAGCCAGTCTAGGAAGCAACTCCGTGCACCCTTTCAGGTATATAGATTTGGAATGCGTTTTTAAGCATGGTTTTTCTAAATGAGATCATCCCTGTATGTACAGTAGACTGCATGCTCGATGCCCAAAACTATCCAACCGATTTCAGGCGGATTTTCCACGTTTCTTATCTGTATTCGTGGTTGTGACTCAAATATAAATTCATCAGGTAACATAGATTGCTCATCATGACCAATGTTGTTCTCGGTATAAAACTTAGATCTTGTTTAAGATCTTCAGCTTCATGGATTGCGCCCTCTTGCTTCTTCCGATTGAGAAGTAACTCCTCGAGTGGGGGATCGGCCTATCGCTAGAGTTCCACCTACAGGGGTAACACAAACACAGAAAGACACCGACAAGCAGTCATACCCTGAATGAGATTCGAGCCCGCGATCCTAGTGTTCTAGCTGGCGAAGCCAGTACGCACCACAGAACGCACTGCCATCGTGATCGCCTCATTAAGAAACATAAAGGTAAAAAAGGTAAAGTTGTACCTGTGCTTAACTAATTAAGCACTGCGTCATAACAGTATGTGGGAGAGTGGATGTATAGATCCACATTTTCTTGACCTCGAAACTAGCTGGAGGTGAGTGCTCATCTTCATGTTTCAGCCGCTTTACCCCTAGGGAAAGAGCCCTCGGCACCCATTTGATAAGAGTTTGGATGGACCCCAGAGCCGGTCTGGACGACGTGGAAAAGAGAAAATTCTTGGCCGTACCGGGACTGTTAACTCCGACCCCTCGGTCGTCCAGCCCGTAGCTAGTCGCTGTACTGACTGCGCTACCGCGACTCACCCCAATAAGGTATATAACTTTTAATTTGAACGCATTGTTCTACACCCTATATATTCATAAAATCCAAGGCAAATTACTCGTATCAGTGCAGTATATTAGCTCTTGAACAAGGAGGTTCTTTTTGTAATAAATAAACACAAGAGGCAATCAGATACGTTAAATAGCAAAGATCGTGTTTCAAAATGTTGCACTCCATTTTAGTACACATTTTCCTTTCGTTTCTCTAGGATACATACGTACCTTTCCTGAAAGATGTATAGTTTCTACACAATTGGGGTTCGTATAGATTGCCTTCGAAGTATTTTGGAGTAATGAAAAATGAAACAAATAAATAAATAAATATACACAACTATGGAATTGTATCGTTACTTGAAGTGAAGGATACATACAGTAACTGGTTTTAAGAACGTAAATAACAATAGAGGCTTGCGTCTTACGTTACTTAAAAACTTTGTATTCTGTTAACTGTACACCACATTGACAGCCTCTGTGGTCTAGTGGTCAGAGCTCCTGGCTACAGATCCAGAGGTCTCGGGTTCGATACCTGGTGCTACCAGACTTTCTGAGAGGTAGTGGGTCTGGAACGGGGTCCACTCGGCCTCATGAGGGTAATTGAGGAGCTACTTGAATGGAAAAGTAGCGGCTCCGGTCTAGAAAACCGAGATTAACGGGCATGGGATCCGTTGCACTGACCACGCGACACCCTCTATCCGTTAAAGTTGGCACTAACTTCTCCCACAATCGGCGGTCTCTCAGTCGGTATAGTTCGGTTGTGGACTAAAACCACGGAGTTTTGTTTTGTTTGTTTGTAAACCACATTTAAAACCATTTCAAAGGAAGGTTACATAACTTTACACACATACATCTGTGTTTTGCGCGCGTCTATATCTCAACACTTTTTTTTTTTGCGATTAGGCGTTTCATAAGGGCAAATAACATGGAATATAGTGACGGATGTAAATTAAATTTGCTCGACAAACTTAGTGGGAAATTTCCATGCCAAATTAAAAAAAAAAATCTGCTTCAGCACTGAAAACATTCAGAGGAATGGACAGACATGGACCCACTTTGTGAACTTGGCGCAAAAAACGCACACATTCGTAGGTGAATCTTGATATAGTTGCTATACATTACCTGGTTAAAGACAGTTTCTTCGGGACAGATGAAGCTCCACTTGAATATCTTCTCCTTGCCATCTGCGAACTGAACGGGCAGACAGACGTGGAACAGCTGACACTCGTTGTCCACATCTGCGTAGTAGCCGTAAATCCGTGACTCGCACGAAAAAGAGTCTGTGATTTCGGATCTGATGGACGTAGCGTTGCTAGGCAACCCCAATGCCTCCTCGGGACCGGGCGCTTGACGTTCCACCTGTAATATAGGACTGCTTAATGGGGTATTTACCAGGTTCTTGCTAACAAACTTCCTGTTAAGCCACTGGAATGACCGCTAGCTTCACAGGACCATGCAGAAATCTGTAGATACAGGGTTCCGTTCGAGCACCAAGCAATGTACACTACTACTCGTATCTCGCAGTTCTGTATTTCAGATAGTGTGCTCCTTAAACTGCGATACCACGGTAATCAACCGTTTTGTAAATTTTAATTCGAAGCTTTCACTTTTTTCCATTTTAATGTTGTCCACCCACCTACGCCTTGATCTTCGCAGTGGTCTCTTTCCTTCTGGCCTTCCCACCAGTATCCTATACGCATTCCTCATCTCCCGCATTCGTGCTACATGAGATGATATGGATTAGATTGATCTGGCTCGGGATAGGGACCAGTGGAGTGCTCTTGTGAACATGGTAATGAACCTTCGGGTTCCATAATATGCTGGGAAATTCTTGAGTAGCTGCAGAATTGGCGGCTCCTCCAGAAGGGCTCAGCTCCATGAGTAAGTAAGTAAGCTTTCACTTTAAAGTATCGTTAATATAGATTGACTGACTGGCATAATGAGGTGCTTCGTAATTATCACTTTTCGCCCAATGTTGTTGAAGTGATAGAGGCAAAAAATCAGAGATACGCTCTCAACAATTAGAGATACCACTTGGAAGATCCAGGCTGGGAGTGTTAAGATAGATCACCAAGAAATATAATGTATAAGATCTGGACTAGATTACTCTGGCTCAGGATAGATGGCTCTACTTACTTACTTACTTCATGGAGCTGAGCGATACTTGAGAAGCCACTACTTGTGCAGCTACTCAGGAACTTCCCAGTATTTTATGGAACCCGAAGATTCATTACCGTGTTCAGTAGAGCCCTCCACTGGTCCCTATCCTGAGCCAGATCAGTGCAGCCGTTACCACCCCATCCTATCTCTCTAAGATCCATTTTAATATTGTCCACCCACCTACGCCTTGGTCTTCCCAGTGGTCCCCCTCCTTCTGACTTTCCCACCGTCCATCCCCGAGGCCCTTCGTGTTATTTCGTGACAATTTTATTTTTTACGGTGAGGATTTGTTAGTTCAACCCCAGAGTTGGAGAACTACCCTTGTCGGCTGTCCGCGACTGCTTGTTCAGTATATTTGCAGAGGATAGGTGGCTGTGGACACGGTAATTAAACCCATGAAATTTAGAGTGTAAGGCTGTTAAGATGCTGTGATGTAGAACATTGAAGATGAAGGTAGCAGATTTCCATCGAAACGTCGATGACCATCCGCCAAATTTTACGACGTCACATTCCAGGAGACCGTAGTGTTAGCAGTATTGAACTTCTGAGTTTCATGAAAGGGGAGTTTCTTGACAAACTGAGCGACTGTTAGCTTCTGAAATGTTCTTCTTCAAGCATTTAGTTAACCCTATGTTTGATTTATTTACTGAAAGTCTAGACCATTTGCAGATAATTTATTGTATAATAAAGAATTGCTTCCAGAATTTTACACACGTATGTGTTGAAGATTAGTAGAGTATTTATGGGTTTATTTTTATGTTTAATTAATTAATCATTTATGTATTATACCCCTGAGACCGACGTACGATATTAGATTTTGTTTTGTATTCGGAAGTCTGTGATTCCTGACACCTACCTTTATGTTACTTATTAGTACCTTTGAACAAACATTAGTTTAGCCTGGCTTAGCTCAATGGTAATTATGTGTACCTCCTGATTTGATACTCTCAGACTGTCTTACGGGATTCGTCTAGTGCTTACAAAATATACCAACTTATTCTATAAGTCATGAAGCAACTGTTGTAATGGAGATGCAGTGTATTTTGCTGCAGGAACCACCTGAAGCTTTATACATTTTTAGATGAGTGTCACCTCTTGAAAGGTTAAAATGCCACGCTGCTAAGCATCTCATAATTATCTAATGTAATTAACATTTGTTCAAGTATGATATAAAAGAAAAGATGTGAACTGTGGCATTTCACCTGAAGCAAAGCTGGTGTAGAGGTTCTCTTTCTCTTTCTGTTGTGCAAATACGTACGGCTCACCCAGTAACCCCGATCACGTGATGATGTAAGATTTCAACTTCCTCTCTCTAATCACATCCGTTTACTTTGTATTATTCGGAGTTTCATGTTTAATTGAGAAGAAATTTCTCTGTTAGGGCGGATAAACGTATTGCATAGAATAAGGACATCTTCCTATGTTATTTCCATTTATTGGTTTTTGTTCCTTTAACGATGCTCATTTGCTCGATATAAAACGTAGATCTTGTTTAAGATCTTAAACTTCGTGGATTGCGCCCTCTTGCCTGTTCCGATTTAGAAGTAACTTCTGGATCTATGAATAGTTTTTGTATATTTGATAGGACTCCCTGAAGGGGGGGGGTCGGCCTATAGCGAGGGTACTACCTACAGAATATAACACAAACACAGAGTGACAGATTAGATGACAAAATTATTAATTGTGTTTGCCATTCATTTGGAAATGCTTAGGAAAGTCACAGACATGAGAAACACATAGAGTTTTTAGGCGGGAAACTGAAGGGAAAAGACGACTTGGCAAACCTCGACGTAGATGGAAGGATAATATTTAAACAGGTTTTTAAAAAATGTATGAGAATTTAGGAATGCAAGAATGTCGGGTTCGGGATTTGATTAAACTGGCTCAGGATATATTCCAATATCGGGGTCTTCTGAACGTGGTAATGAATATTCAGGGTTTCATAAAATGAAATTTTCTGAGGAGTTTAATGACCATTAGCTTCCCACCCTGCTCCGTGGGGTCAGAACAGTTGTGAAATTACATTTACTGGACATCGTTTACTTAAAAATTCTGCCGTACTCAAAATAGAGGGCACGCGGTAGCATAGTTGGTTGAGGCACCATGCTACAAGCCGGAAGGTTGCAGATTTTCAATTTACCTAGTCCTTTCAGCCGCACTATGGCCGTGGGGTCGACTCAGCCTCTAACAGAAATGAGTACTGGGAATCTTCCTGGGGGTAAAGGATGGCCGGCGCGTAAGGCTGACAAACTTACCGCCATCTGTGAGCCGATTGTCTGGAAAATGTATGAGCCTAGACGTCTCAAAACCTTATGGGCCTGCACGGCCTGTTGCAGGGATATATTAACTTTTATTTTTACCAGAATTCAAATAAGTGTAGGAGCTTCAAAAATTGGTCGTGAGGATGGGTGAACGATACTATTAAACGTTCATTTTTGCAGCCCCCCCCAGAACGTGCACGCATCCGTCTGGCACTGCATTAGAGTACATATGCCGCTTCTGACTGAAGCTGTACAAGCTCTTGGCTTAACGTTTGACCTCGGCTAGACAGCCTCCTGCGGCAGTTTTCCATACATCACTGTCCTCAAGACCCTCCAAACCATCCGATCATTAAAAAGAAGCAAAGTTGTGAACGGAAGAGAAAGTCATCTCACGCAACTAACACAACGTTCCATTAAAGAAGCCAAAAAGAAAATGTGCCGTGTTTTACTGACTAACCATTTAATTCAAGTTCGAGAAGAATCGAACAATTATAGCCTCCAACATTATGCAATGAATTACGCAAGCATATGCTAAGAGTAACGGTTTATTTCCGATGGTATTACGCATTGTTTACAACTTTCTTTTTAGGGGGAGATAATTCATCGTCGGAATTTATTGAATCTACTATTTTTCTGAGGGGGCGCGCTGTAGCGTAGTTGGTTCAGGCACTATGCTACAAGCCGGAAGGTCGCGGGGTTAAATCACGATGAGTTTTTTCAGTTCACCTAATCGTTCCAGCCGCACTAGGGCCCTGGGGTCGACTCAGCCTCTAACAAAAATGAGTACCAGGAATATTCCTGGGGGTAAAGGGCGGCCGGCGCGTAAGGCTGACAACCTCACCGCCATCTGTGAGCCGATTGTTTAGAAAATGTGGGGGCCTCAACGTCCCACAGCCCTTTTGGCCTCCACGGCCTGTTACAGGGATACCTATACTTTTTTTTACTTTACTATTTTTCGGAAATTCGTTATATTTCCGTCTCACAGATGAACAAATCACGAAAGAAAGCATATACTCTTCTGCCCCTCGGTTGACATACATAAAACATGAACACCAGCAATCTTCAGAAATCATTATAAAATCATGGTTTTGAAGTAGCTATGTTTAGAAGCCTCGCGGGGTAGGTTTTCCTTCACATCCTGTTCTCATGACGACGGAAATACAACCAATTTCCGAAACATGGCAGTTTCGATAAATGATGACTATAGATAAACTCCAAAATAAGTTTTAAACGGTGTACAAATTCCCGTGTGGAGGCAGATTAGAATATTTCCACCATAGCTCTGGGAGGCTTAGAAGGAGATGGAAAGAGAACCCGGTGTCTCGGAGTAAAACTAGGTGTCCCTGTCACTGAAAGACGTAAATGCAGAGACCTGGTCTTCTAGAATGGGGGTTGGACGCAAAGATGACGACTTTGTTCTGTAAAAAGGAGCATTGTTACGAAATCCTAATGTCTAATTCACAACAACCTGGCAAACTAAACAAAGACTTGAAACCGAAAAAATCATAAGCAGGAATAGACAAACCTAAACAGAATATTCTAAGGAATACTATGGCTCAAAAAGTACTATTTTGCCAAAGACGAAACCACGCACAAATAAAATGTATTACTCGTAGTTCTGAGTACGTGTATGTCAAATTTTCAATCTTCAACTCTTTCCGTCACACATCATAAATGAACTGCCCTGGATTTGAATCAGGGACTCCTTAATAAGAAGGTGGTATATGCCTAAATTAAATGAAGTATAGTACACTTATCAATATTACAGAATCAAGGAAGGGCGGTAGGAAGTACGTAAATTATGATAAGTCCAAAAGCCTGTCAGTATTTTCCCAGCCCCCGAAGATAAGTCAGAAGGCGACAAATTAAAACTAGGCTAAATGCGGTAAAGGAAAAAGGTAAGGTAAAGTTGTCCCAATGCTTAACTAATTAAGCACTTCACCATGAAGGCGTAGGGGGATTGGATGTATACGTGTATATCCACATTTTCTTGGCCTCGGTACTAGTTGGAGGTGACGGGTCAGCTTGACGCTCCTGTCGCCTTACCCCCCGGCGAAAGAGCCACCGGTACACATTGAGTAGGAGGCAGGGTGGATCCCAGAGCCGGTCTGGACGACGTGGAGAAGAGAAAATTCTTGACTCTACTGCGACTCGAACTCCGACCCCTCGGTCGTCCAGCCCGTAGCCAGTCGCTATACCGACTACGCTATCTCGCCTCCAAGTTAAATCCGGTGTCCGCATAAATTTAAGAATTCGTGTGTTTGTTAGTAATACTCGATTTGGATTATACTTTGTCAGTTTTGTCATGAAACTTTTTATGGACGACGTAATTTACAACACTGGAACTGGGATACGCCTGCACAACGAGCTACCGGAGTGCACTTCACGAATCTCACAATCGTGAGTTATGAGTGCTCGAGAATCTGGTTAATAAAATTTGCGTATCTCTCTCTCTCTCTCGGAAAACATGTCTATTGGAATTGTTGCGAGTGTAGTTCACAGAATTATGTTCAGATCTGTCCAGAAACATGTCCGAAATTAATTCCGGAAAATTGGTTCAGCTTTGCTTGAATGATGGAATGGTATATTATTTATTTTAGTTCATTTGACGATTTTGTCAGTAATTCAGTCAATGTGGGGTCAGGTTTTTGAATGACAATTAATATTGATTTTCCAAGGATGTGGAAGAATGCGTCGTGTCCGAATTTAAGGAAATATCCCGATTATTTCTGGAAAGACTGAGTAAAATCACGAAAAATCTCAGTCAGGATTGGCGGCACCCCAGTCGGCGTTACGGGAACCTCCCGGATGAGAACTGGAAGAATTAATACTTGAACCACCTTGCTTGATTGGTCGATTACATAACCCTCCTTTTTCTTTAGTAGATTATCTAAGAGTTCTGTTTCAAAAATTGGTCGCGATAAATGAGGAATATAAATATCGGCTCTGGAGCAGTGGGACAAGAAATAATTATGGTTTGACTAAAGATGTTATTCAAATTCCCCCGGAAGTAATGAGGAAACCCTGCTTAGGACTCGTCATCTCATTTGAGATTCGAACGGGGTACAGTGAAGAAACTTGTCAACGAAGCCGCTACCAGAAATTATATTAAATATTATTATAGCAGATTATTGTCATAGCAAAGGAAATGAAAGTGTGGATGCAGATATGACAGACTGTGTGGATGGGGGGCACAGCTTCCTGGATGCCTCTCCTGTACACACATCATATATCACAACTTTCACTGAATGCTGTAGCTATCCTCTTCATCGGATGACATTTACGGCCTCTGATGGGAACGCCTGTCTTGTACGTGGGCAGTTTGCTGTTAGACATTTGCTGCTACAGTACAATACTAGTTCCGTTCGTAGAACTTCGTATACTGGTAAGCAATTACATTTCACGAAATCCAAGTGAAATTTCTCGCGTAATTTAGGGCGATCTTTCAAAATTCTAAAATGAAATGTATAAATACGGGCAGTGGTTACTTATTTACTTACTTACGCATGGAGCTGAGCCCTTCTGGAGGAGCTACCAATTCTGTAGCTACTCAAGAATTTCCCAGGATTTTATGGACCCCGAAGGGAACGCCTGTCTTGTACATGGGCAGTTTTCTGTTAGACATTTGCTGCTACAGTACAATACTAGTTTCGTTCGTAGAACTTCGTATACTGGTAAGCAATTACATTTCACGAAATCCAAGTGAAATTTCTCGCGTAATTTACGGCGAATCTTTCAAAATTCTAAAGTAAAATGTATGCCGGTCACGGTAGCCGAGCGGTCTAAGGCATGCACTGTCTTCACTCGCTCGGAAGCCGGGATCGCGGGTTCGAATCCCACTCAGGGCATGGATGTTTGTGTGCGTTTTTCTGTGTTTGTGTACAGGTAGAGGCCTTGCGACGAGCTGATCACTCGCCCAAGGAGTCCTACCGAATGTGTAAGATCTAGTAAACTGAAATGAAACGGAGAGTTTCATGGAGGTAGGCCTAGGCCCAAATTGGGGCTGTAGCGCCACAGGAAAAAAAAGTAAAATGTATAAATACGGGCAGTGCTTATTTATTTACTTACTTACTCATGGAGCTGAGCCCTTCTTGAGGAGCCGCCAATTCAGCAGCTACTCAAGAATTTCCCAGCATTTTATGGAACCCGAAGGTTCATTACCGTGTTCACAAGAGCCCACCACTGGTCCCTATCCTGAGCCAGATCAATCCAATCCCTACCATCCCATCTAAGATCCATTTTAATATTGTCCACTTGCCTACGTCTTGGTCTTCCCAGTGGCAGTATATTCGGAATTTTATATTAAACAAAATTGTCCTAGGATGTTCCTTCTTGGGAAGCTGTCGGTCGTTCGGGTGGTGCAGTTCACCTCCTTTTTTGGTATCCGCAGGTGCGTTGCCGTAGGCAAAATGGGTAGCTGCCAGACACAATCCTGAGGCCAATGAATCCACTCCACGACCTCTACATGACTGGTCCACCACTTTGATATTATTATCCATTCTGTGCCCAGGTTTTCTAAGTGATATCATCCCTTGAGGATTGGCGACTAGATTTTTATATGTTCCTCATCTCTCCTATGCTTGGTACATACCCCAGCAATTGCCTTGTCCTTAATTTGTTCGTAATTTATTTGTTTATAACATATGGTTCATAGTAACCCTTTATTAAGCGGCCTCCGTAGTCTAGGGGTAACATTCCCACCTCATGACTCAAGGTACGCGGGTTCAAACCCTGCGGAGGTCGTGGAATTTTTAAGGGCAGAAAAGTTCACGGAACAAGTCCTCCGAGAGGGACTTTAAGCCGTGTTTCCCGTGTCGTAGATCCTCATGAGCAAAATTAGGCAAAGTTTCCCGCCCAAGTAGTTTCCAATTCCTCCGGTAGATGGGGAAGTATCGGGGACCACTGCCAGAAAGGTTGCCGACCTCCCTGGCAGGATGGGGCTAATAGCGAGCACCAATACCGGAAGGGCATGGCGACTGGTAGAATATCAAAAGGGGACGTACAATAGACTATTAGTCGCGGTGCATGGGGAAACCCACCCCCTCTAATAATAATAATAATAATTATAACCCTTTATTATATTTTTACCGAGTAATTTCAAATTTTCACACATATAACTTACCCTGATCTTCGGGTAGGCCACGACGAAGCTGCTTAGGGCGACGATGGCTGTAAGATACAAATAAATAGAATTATATATATATATATATATCATATACAAAACGAACCTTTAGATAACTTATTTAACAATACTATATCATTATAGTTCAATCGGTATAGCGACAGCCGGGCACGGTAGCTTAGCGGTCTAAGAATGTACTGTCTTCGCTCGGTCGGAAGCCGGGATCATTGCTTCGAATCCCACACAAGGCATGGATGTTTTGTGTGTGTATACGTTTATTCTGTGTCTGTGTTTTCCTGTGTTTAGGTAGAGGCCTTGCGACGAGCTGATCACCGCCCCAAGGAGTCCTACCGTCTGTAAAATGATCATGAAGCTGAGAAATCAGCCCTATGCTCAACAGTGGGAGCAAGAGGAGAGCAGCAGAAGAAAAAGAAGGTATAGCGACAGATTACAGGCCAGACGGTCGAGGAACTGGGGTTCAGTTCCCGGCAGGGGCAATATATATTTCTTTTGTCCACAGAGTCGAAATCGGCTGTGGGGTCCACCCCTCTAGTGTTCATGAGGGAGTCTTATCGAGAGTAAAGCAGCAGGGGCGTGAAACTGACCACTCATCTTCGTTTAATGCCGAGGTTAAGAACGGTGGATACGCCTACATGGCCTGACGCTTAATTAATTAAACATTGGGGAAAGATTTCCTTTCCGTATATACTATGTCAATCTAGAAGCTGGTTATGTTAACGACATTCGTGATACTTAAAGCGCTATAAAGTGTTCGAATCGTGCAGTCTGCTCAAACACGTTAACACTTCAGGACCGATGACACATCTGCGATCAGTATCATTTGATGTTGACTGGCGGGGGAGATCTGTCGGCCTTCCAGTCTGCCCACCATGAAACCCAAGCTCCCGCGACTTGAGCACCAGATGATAATATTGCCGACACATATAAATGAGTAATAACAAGTGAATCGCAATTTTGCTTAATATGCCAAAAGTCCTAATTAAGTCTGCTCCAAGTTTCAATCCAATTCTTCCTTGCCCATATTAATACCAGGTGGGCCTTTTTGCCACTTTCCTCATAGAACGTCTTTATTCTAACAAACGTCATGCTTTCCTTTGTTTTCTTTTCATTTATGAAATATGTTATATGCTGATTGAACAAAATTTTGCTAAATTGGATCCTTTGCTTCGTACTTCGGTATATGGCAAAAATAAGGTAAGAAAAATGAGGGCTTGACAAGACCGCATTTCACAGAATTGGCTTTTCCACCATAAATTCCTTTGAATCAGTCCAGACCCGATGTTCTTTCTTTTAAACAAATCTTATTTCTGTTCATAAGTCAGTTTTAAATTATTCTTGTTCTTCTACGGGCGCTACAATCAATGATTAAACTTGGCCTCATTAGGATTGTTCGCCATTTGTCCCCTTCCTGTGACTTTCGTCTCCAGTTTCTAACGCCCATTGACTTAAATCTTATTCAGCTAAATCCAGCCACCTGATACCAGGCCTACCTACTCGTCTAGTTCTCTCTGATTTAAAGAGTTAACTTCCTGCAAGGATTCTGTTCCTGCATTCCAAAAAGGTGTCCCGGACATCTCAACCGCCCTACTTCGATCAATTTCACTATATAGACAGGTTAGATTAACGGTATTTGATTATAATAAAGACAACATTTCTTTGCAATTGAAAAAATCTTTAGAAAAGAAAAGTGTTTAAGTGAAACTATAGTTTTTCGTTTTGAGAGAAGACAAACTTTACTGACGGAATGCAATGAGAAATAAAGTATGGCCGTTGACGAGACTGATGGGTGGCTGAAGCCAAAGCGAGCCAACAAACTGTCAGAATTCATGACAATTGTTTATTTATTTATTTATTTATTTATTTGCGTATGGTTCATTTAACTGTGCTGTTAGTAGCTCGGAGCCGAGATAGCTCAGTCGGTAGAGCGATGGACTACGAGTTGGGCGGCCGGGGTTCGATTCCCGGCAAGAGCACACAACGTCCAGACAGGCTCTGCTGTCCACCCAACCTCCTATCTAATGGGTACCAAGGACGATTTTTCAGGGGGTAACGCGATCGGAGCGTGAAGCTGATTACTCACTTCCATCCAATACTGAGGTCAGGACTGGTGCAAACATACCTCAGCTCCACCATTCGCCTTCATGGCATAGTGCTTAATTAATTTAACACAGGGAGAACTTTGCATTTTACATTTACGCTGTCAGCAGCTCAGTCCACAGCGTCAATTGATTCGTTGACAGTAAATAGTAAAGTGGAGAGGAGGTGGAATGAAGCGGTTGTAGCTCAGTTTAGGTTACTATCCCGACGTATGTTTCAAATGACTGAGGAAAACAACAAAAACTGTGTCAAGATAGTCTGAGTCTCGGCCTAGATCCAAACCGGGTACCTTGCGAATACAAAGCAGATACGATACGTCTTGAGTTTATCTGTTCGCTGGTGATGCTAATGACGATAGATACATTTTTTTTATTCTTGTGGCTGGCTTTTCCGTAAAGAAATGAGGATGCAGATTCTAATAAGAAAGCATATAAATAACACAATGCCCCGAATTGGACTTGTACAGGAGTTTTGAAGTTTAGGATTCCTGAAATGTTCATTTGATTTTGGGCGGTGCCCATATTCAGATATTTCTCCCAGCACTTCTTGGTATCTGATTCATGCCGAAAGCAGGCATCAGCAGATGTGGTTTAAGCAATAGTCTTGGCTCGTATTCGAGAGGTTCCCCATTCGAATCTCGTTCGAAACACTGACTATCCTGCCTGTGATCTGTAGCGGTTTTCCTCAGTTCCTTTCGGCAATATTGGGATAATCCCTTAAGCTGCATCGCAACAACTTTTTTATTGCTAGTGGGGTGGGACTAAGGCCCTTATACTGCGGTCACTTCTGATCTATTGTACCAGCCCCAGATGATAGGTGAAGGTGATTGTGGAGCAATTGGTGGAATGAAGATTGGCAGGGGAAACCGAAGTACTTGGAGAAAACCTACCCCAGCCACACTTTTTCCACCATAAATCCCACTTGACTAGACCCGGGATCGAACCCGGGCCGCCTCGGTGGGAAGCCAGCGACTAACAGCTTGAGCTATGGCGCGGATAGCAACAGCATCCTTTCCAGTTCAGTATTAACTCTTATGCACGCATCTGGCACTATATAGTTTTTTAACCAACAACTTCATTCAATAAACTACAAACAAAACAAAACAAATAGAACCCACGTCCATTTCCTGCGCATTGTTGCCTTTGTATACTCTTTTTTAGAATGGACAGATGACAAGACGCACTGTGCCCAACAACGCAAATGTTGTGTATTTTCAACTCAGCTTAGTTAATATGTTCATGTATTAATTATATATACATATATTTAAAAACAAACTACGTGGCCTGTAGTCCGCAAGCGAACTATACCGACCGAGAGACCGCCGCTTGTCGGCTAAGTTAGCGCCAGCTTTTGCGGATAGGTGGTGTAGCGTGGTCAGCGCCACGGATCCCCACGGCCGTTGATTTAGGTTTTCTAGATCGGAGCCGCTGTTTCCTTGTAATAGCTCCTCAATTATAATTACGAGGCTGAGTGGACCCCGTTCCAGACCCACTGTATATACAATTAATAAAATAAATATGGTTCACGCACCGAACTGAGCCCGATAGAAACGGTACAAACTTCTGTGTTATGTTTAGAGTGTAAGCTGTAATCAGGCAATATTTCTTCGTCAGTGCGACGATTTAACGCATGGTACGTGGCTGTTTCCCCGTCTTACTGTGTAGCTAATGAAGAATATATTTGCCCATCCCATCTTGTGGATTAACATCTTGTGCACTCACCTAGAACAGAGGTTGATATGATACGGTGTAATGTGCACATCGTGACGGGCGGTGATAATATTCTGGAAAAGAACAGTTATAATAACACAGTGATTAAAGGAGAATTGAATATATGAGTTTCGTATTTCGAAAGTAAATCGGAGTCCAATCAATTCCTCATAAACCTTGCAGATCATTGCGTAAACAATTGCGCTGTGAGTTGTGTCTCATGGTAGCCTATAAAGGAAATGTTGAAATATTTATGTGCCAGTAATTATTATTGGTACATTAATATATTATTATTGATATTATACTCGTTATTAATTACAAAGTGGGTGTAACGAGTATTAGCGATGCTGAGGTGCAGGACAAATGTGATGGCCGAGCATTTAAAGTTAAAGTGAGCAGCCGACAAATTTCAGTAGCGGACTAACTTCATAATTTGGCCGTGCCATAGCTCGAGCGGTTAGTCACTGGGTCGGGTGAAGTGGAATTTGTGGTGGACAAAGTGGCGCTGAGGCAGGTTTTCTCCGAGTAGTTCGGTTTCCCCTGCCAATCTTCATTCCACCAAATTCTCCATCATCATAATCACCCGGGGCAGGCTACAATAGGCCAATCAGTGGCCGCCGTGCCGAATGGACCCAGTTGGACTCCACTCCCCACTAAGCGAAACTTCATGTTTTAAAAGAAAATAACGTACAGATTTAAATATAAAGGTAAGAAATTGATATATTGGATACTCTACAGTACCAAAAATTAATAAATGAAACCTTAAGAGAAATAAAAGTAGGGACGTTGTTGAATTCATTTCCGCAATTCAAGAATTTATAAATGTAGAAATCTCAACTTATTTGAGCAGCGTACCCAGGAAATGGGCTTAAAATCTAGATAAAATAATTTATTTCAAATTGGCAGTGTTAGAGAAACGCTTAACTTACATGCAGAGATTTCAATGCTGGAGTGGGCAAGTAACATTTCGTGAACCGAGTGTATAACCCCAAACTCAGTGAAGAGATTGAACCTTAGAATGATGTTATGAAAAGAATTAAAAAGTTGCAATGGATCTAAATGACTGTCAGAGAAAATTCAATGCTTAAAGAACGAATAACTTTGGGAATATTTTAGTTCCAGGCGTGCATTTAATTTAGATATCTGCGAAAACGTGAGTACATATTATTGCAATTGACACGTTAAAGATATTCCAGAGCCAGAATACACAAGCAATTTTTGTAGTCTGCACTGCAAATTAATATAAGAATCTACTGCAAAAATTTAAATCCTGACATTAATACTACAAGACTGACCTTGAGTATGATTATAAGCGAATAATTGATTAATTGTAGTCATTTCTATGTTAATTAAGAATAAATCCGTATGACTGTTAACTTCATCTTCAGAAAAACTCCGTATCTTCGAATTCTAAGTATTTCACTAAACAAAGTTAGGTCAGGTCAACATAGTAACATATCCCATGTATCACAAATTAAGAATTACAAACTCTGTTTAATTAAGAAGATCTGGGATGTGACGCCTTCTAGTTCGATAGATTCTTACCGACGTTTCGGATGAACCCTAGTAAAAGTTCAACAGACCACACGATCTCACATAACAGAAAAATGGTAGTCTGTACAGTCATCTAGAGATGACACAGAGCTGTGAAAGCCTGAAATCTCACAATGTTGAACTAAGTAACAGATATTTGAATAGATTTTTAAAGAACCCAATTTACTTGGATACTGTCGATGTTTACATGGCATTTATTTCTACGAATCTGCATAAATACCACTGCTTCCCATCTACGAGTATATTGCCTTCTCTAAACACATCTGGGAACGATGCCAGCACTGCATGGTCTGCTATTCCATTACGTGTATTCTCTCTGCCTTCGAAAAACGACAGTTACGATCCCAAGAACTTTTAAAATTGCAAATATTTTATTATTGTAATATAATTTAGATTTCACATGATCAGTATTTTACAAAATAGCAAAACAAGTCATCACATTAAGAATTTGTAGATTCAATTTCATCTCAAAATATTCGTAACTTTTATAAAATTCGTCCCTAAAATATCTATAACGAAAATAAGATAAATTTGTTGTTTAGCAATCAGAAAATAATATAGTTGTATCATTTTCTTTGTTGCTTTTATTGTAGTTTTATATTAATATCTGAATATTATACGGCAAATAAATTAAAACTGCAATAATTTTAAGTAGATCTGCAGAACATGATAAGGCTTGATTCTTATAGGTATAATTAAATTTGCAGCGGCATCTGGAAATATTTAACTCAATTATTAGTTGTTTAATGCAAGACCATTCTTAGTTTTACTTGCTTTATATGCAGTGGGCGTTCTTTGTTGTTGCATTCATTGAAATGGTTTATTTCTGTCATATTAACAAGTTTTTTTCCCCACAACGAAAATCATTTTCATTTATTAATATTTGAAAGAGGACATAAGTGTGTTTTTATGAAGGTCCTTTGCCTAAAACAGACGAGCAACGAAGCACCCAGCCAAATGACCATTTTCTGAATACGTAATAATAAATGGACTTCTTCACTCAACATTTTCAACTATAATAGGAATATAAACAAAATGTTCTGGGAATATTTTGTCAGAATATACAGGAATAAATAACCTTAAATAACTAAATTCCATAAAAGTTTGTTTTAAGGATAGTACGTCATATTTTGGTCTCCGTTGCTGCCACAAGTTGATGAATTTTCATTTCCTCGTACATTTAAATCGAGAATAATTTGGGTACATTTTCTATATAATAAAAGAGGATAATAAAACATTCATAAATCAATTAAGCAATCGCTGATATTACTGAACGCGATATTTATCTCAATTACCATATTCCATTAATATCTTAGATTTCGTCATGCCCATTTTTATTTCTCTTTACAAATTTTCTGACCACTTTATATTTTACAGAGCGCTTTATCTGTCCTGACCGTCAGCATGTATTGTTACCAATGATGATGTGATTATTAAACCGTGAAACATTAATTTAGATTATATACAAACCTGACTTGTGCCTAAGCAATCCCTACTTCTGTAATTAAATGTAAATGAACAGAGAATTCAAGAAGATGCGGTCACAGAAACAAAACACACACTCATAAGACCGAATTGAAACTACGAGCTTTTATACCATACAAATCCGAAGATGCTCAGAAGTGTGAGTGGGGAGTTTGGGCTGGAAGGGATAGCGTGGAGGTGCATGCGTGTGTGCGTACGAGGGTACGGGTGGGGACATCCGGAGGTCATCATTCAGAAACCTGTGTCTCACATTCTATTTCTATTCTTACGTCGTTCCGTTCATCTTCTCCTCAGCCTCCAAGCTGCAGCCGACACTCTTACTTTCGTCAAAAACTACACTTTTGTGCAAGAATGACTTACCTCGGATATGGTCTAACGTAACATAGGGGAATTCCCAGATTCTTCTCGGATTCTGAAATTCAGCCCTCACAGAATTTTACCTCCATATCTTAAACTTTTCCGTTGGCCAGAGGAGAATGCACGGCGTCTTGCTTTCGAGACTGTCTTCTTCCCACCAGCCTTATATTCTAAAACTGCGTAACCGTTGTTAGCGTAGTGTAACATGAGGCCCGAAAGCCGGAATAGCGAAGTCAGAATAGACATTTATTGCTAGGCAACGATTCGGCAAACGCATTCCCGCGACAACGAATACGCAAACAACAATCGAGTAACTTCCGTTGCTATGCAACGTAGCAGTAAACAAGCCTTCCCAACAATAGAGAGGCTGAGTTTTCTGCGTGGTCCATGCAAAATGGTTGTAAAGAAGAGTTCCGAAGCTGTCAGTAAGAGCATAGAATGGACTCGTGTTTCGAGACGCTAGCCTGCCGGGGCATGAGCTTTGGAGCAGGGGAATTGAACTGACTTGGCAGTTGCAGAATAATGGCAAGAAAGAAATTAGGCTGTGAAAAGAAGACTTCATATGTGATTTGAAGTGACAGTGAGACTTACGAATCCGTTGCCAGGATACGACTAGTGAAGACTGAGAACCCTGGTGCATGTGTAACAGTGAACTGTAAAGTGTGTGGATCAACGATAGCACTATGATTGCCTGTAGTTCCGAGTGATTGGTTGTCAATAACTCCAATCAACCAATTAAGAATCCGTCTTATAAGTCACGCGCACAACATCTACAATCTACAATCTGAAATCGGCCATCCGAACATTAAGCGAAAGTTGCCAAATTAAAAATGAAGCACACTGTAGCGTAGTTCGTTGAAGCACTATGCTACAAGCCGGAAGGCAGCGGGATCGAATTCCGATGAGGTGGATTTTTTCAATTTACCTAATCCTTCCAGCCGCACTATGGCCCTGGAGTTGACTCAGCCCATAACAGAAGTGAGTACCAGGAATGTTCTTGGGGGTAAAGGACGGCCGGCGCGAAAGGCTGACAACGTTACCGCCATTTGTGACCCGACTGTCTAGAAAATGTTGTAACCTCAACATATCATAACCCTACGGGCTTCCACTGCCTGTTACAGGGATACCTTTACGTTTTTTTTAATAATATTAGATTCGATTAAGAAAGGTTATAAATAGGAGTTGGGACAGCTCAATCGGTATAACGACGTGCTGCGGGCCAGAAGGCCGGCGTTCCATTCCCAGCAGGAGCAAGAGTGATTTTTCTTTTCTTCATATTGTTCAGACCGGCTATTGGACCCACCCAGCCACTTATCTAATGAGAACAAGGGCTCCTTCTCCGAGGAAAAAGCGCCCGGCGCAAGAAACTGACTAATCACATTCATCTAGTGCCGATGTCAAGAATGATGAAGCAATATCTGCTCTCTCCATACACCTGTATGGCCAAGAGCTTAATTAATTAAGCGCAGGGAGAATTTTACCTTTATCTAGGTTGTAAATGAAAAGAATTGATTATAGTGTTGGAATGATCTGCATACTAAATACTAGAAAGGAGATTGTTTTATAGACTCATCCCATTTACAGTTATATCCCTGTAACAGGCCATGGAGAGCCGTAGGATTGTGAGACGTCGAGGTTCCCACATTTTCTAAACAATCGGCTCACAGTTGGCGGTGAGGTTGTCCGTCTTAAGCGCCGGTCGCCCTTTACCCCCAGGAATATTCTTGGTACTCATTTCTGTTACGGGCTGAGTGGATCCCAGGGCCATAATGCGGCTGGAAGGATTAGGTAAATTGAAAAAATCCTCATCGGGATTCGATCCCGCGACCTCACGGCTTATAGCATAGAGGCTCAACCAACTACGCTACCGCGTACCCCACAGATTAGCAAGAACAGTTATTAAGCAGAACAGAGAGCAATCGTAACATCCCAGAAGTAGTACTATTCATGGCTGTGAGAACCTCGATAGATAAAAGTAGGTGTTTGACCGTGATACAGTTTGTGTAGGACATCAACGTTTATTGCCGTACTCACGTAAGTCCGATATTGGGACTTGATCCTGATCCATTTCAATCCAATCCACTTCCTCGCATCCTACTACTATGACACATTTTAATATTGTTCGCTCATTTACAGCTTTGTCTCAAAATTGTCCTCTTCCACTAAGATTTATATCTGAAACATATTATATTTTTTATCTTACGTACGTTAATGTACTTTCCATCACATCTTTTTTTTTAAGCCTTTCTGATATTAACCGAAAATTTGCTTGTGGTGTGAAGCTACAATTTATATGCAATGTTCTGCATTGTTCTTATTTTATCTTTCTTAGGTCCCTTATCGTGGTCGTACCATAGTCCAGGCGGTTAGTCGCCGGCGGCCCGGGTTCGAGTCTGGGTCAGGTCATGTAGGTTTTATGGTGGACAAAGTGATATTGGGACAGGTTTTCTCCGAGTACTTCATTTTCCCCTGCCAATTTGCATTCCACCGATTTCTCCACAATTATCATCTGTCATTGGTGCTGGTACAACAGGCCAAAGATTGGCCACAATACCAAATGGACTCAGTCTCACCGCGCCCCAAAAGGATCCATATTTCTTACTGGGCACATATTGTCCCTCTAACATAGTTACACAAACACTCGCACATTATGTAATACGGTTGATTTATCTATGAATTTTGATTGTGCACCAGATGGAATGGCCAAGTATCTGTGATTCAGTTCGTAGCGTCTCGTTTATGGAAATAGAGAAATCCACAGAATGTGTAGATACCAGATAGTACTGGCATTAAGAGAACGCCTAGCCCTAACAACCTTCTGTCAATATCATAATTATGTGTGCTTACTTGAATTGACACTCGATTTAAGTTGAGACTCGGTTAGGTTTTCAAAGTGATGACATCAAGCCTGCTTCTACATTTCAGGTAAAATGCCAAGCACAAGCGACACAATTTTCAACAATTTGGAAACCATCAGTTCAAGAAAGCAGGATTGCTAGTTAGACCAGTAGCCATCTGCAGTATGTTGCATGAAGTAGCACGTGCCGTTGCACTGCACAAGGCAAATAGTTGATTCGTGACTGTAGAGTTGAGAAACACGGAGCTTATATCAGTCACGTTTGCATTAGGATATATTTTTTAAATTCCAGCCGACAATTATATTTGTAATTGAAGGAAACCCTGTTATTTTGTATGGTTATCAGACGTATTCTGCTATTGTGAGAGAAGGCCATACATTTAAAAAACAAAGTGCTGAAGAAATTGTGCGATTTGAGAATCCTATGGCTGTGACTGTCTTACTGACTCACTTCATGGAGCTAAGCCCTTCTTGAGAAACCACCAGCTGTGCATATACTCAAGAATTTCCCAACATTTTATGGAACGCGAAAGTATTCAAAAGATCCCGCCACTGGTCCCTATACTGAGCCAGATCAATCCAGTCCATACCACCTCATCCCATCTCTCAATAACATATTTTAATATTATCCACCCACCTAGGCCTACGTCATCTTCCCAGTGGTCTCTTTCCTTCTGGCTTTCCCACCAATATCCTATATGCATTCCTCTTCTCCCCCATTCGTGCTACATCCCCTTTCCATCTCATCTTCCTTGACTTGATCATTCTAATTATACTTTGAAAAGAGTACAAGTTATGAAGCTCCTCATTATGCAGTTTTCAAACTCCTTAAAATATGAAAAACATTCAGAGCAATGACATCACACCATCGACCTCTTGGTATTAGGTGCGACATCCTATCACTAACAAACTCTACCTTCTTAACTGCTAATATGCTTTTCAAAAACACGTAATTCATGATTCTCTTTCGCTTTTCCATAGAAAAATGTATATTTGCCTGCTGGTTCGGTGCCACCTCTGTCGCATCTGACCTGTACAACCACTAAATGTAACTTATATTTTGAGATTTCTTTCGTAGCTGCCATGAGCGAACCTCTCCCCTACAGACTTCTTACATTCCAAGCACCAAATCTCATGTCGATTTTCCTTAGCTTAGGTCCTTTATCCAAAGAATCCATCTATGTCCGAGGCCCTTTGTGACATTTCGTATCAAACTTATTTTTAAGGTGAAGAGTTGTTAGCCTCACGCCCAATCTCCAAGCTGGAGGACCACCTCTTGTCGGCTGTCAGCGACTGCTTATTCAATACATTCGCAGCAACCCTCCATATCTGGAGGCCATCTCCTCCACCCGCAACCTGAGGGCGCGCTATGCCTTGGTGACAAGGGACCTACTTAGCAAGGGACGGCAGTGACCATAAGGGTGAATGTCTTCTGGGATATGACGCTTTGTAGTCTGGTAGGTAGTTACTAGTGTTTCGTAGGAACCTACTTCCTTCATCATCAGGGTAGTCGAGCAAAGTCGCGTTTACAGTAGCAGCTTTTTTTTTAATTCGGATCTAAAATTACTTTCTTAATTAAATGGCAGTGTTTTCTTTTGTATTAACGACAGGCGTGTTTCCTTATTTTGAATAAATTTCATAAATATGAAAAAAAAAAATATAAAAATTGTGAGATTTAAGGTTCTCCGGGATGTGTATTCCTGAGGGGTAAAAGGCGGCCTGCGCGTAAGGCTGACAACCTCACCGCCATCTGTGAGCCAATTATCTAGAAAATGTGGGAGCCTCAACATCTCACAGCCCTATGGCCCTCCACGGCCTGTTAAGGGGATACTTTTATTTTATTTTTTTCTGGGTT